AAGTGTTGGTGCCCTGCTATGTACCATGTGCCAAGCAATGTGCTAGACCGGGGAAGATGAAAAAAAAAAAAAAAAAAAAAAAAGATAGCACTCATTAATGAGTTATGACTCTATAATTTTTGTTTTTTTTAACAATTAAATATAATCTTTTTTTGTTTATTTATTTATTTATTCCATAAGGGAGAAGCTGAGAGAGACTGCACCCCCGATCAGTCTTCATGCTGCAGCCCGCCCATCTCAGCCAGCCAGGATTTATGTTCAGGGAGGCTGTGGGATGTGAACCCGGGACCTTTCTGATATAGGCCCAGTTGCGTTATCACTGTGCCACTACCTGGTTGTTGGATCACGTGCCAGAACAATGAAGAGACTCTCTTAGATGCTCCTCTCTGCATCGGGGCCAGATCCAGCACCGCGGCGTCCACCCCTCCCACCTGCCCGTGCACTCGTGCACACACACACCAACCACTGTCCACTTCCTCTCCCTGCACCTTGCACTAGGGCTCTCTGCTGAGTGGCACCAGCACCTGCTTCCTGTTGTCACCACAAGGAAGACGTGGGACAGGCACTGTCCAGGCCTGGGGGCAGAACTTCGGGGGAGTTACTGTGAAGCCTATCCTGGCCACTAGGGACTCCGCGGGGCTGGGCAAGGGCTGAATGGCTATGCCCCCGAGGCAAGCCCAGCCCCTGCCTTGCCCACCCATCTGCCACCTGTGTAGTGCCCTGGAAGGCCGGTCACTCCAGGGACCCTGGGCTCGCGTGCCCTCAGGCTGCAGGGATGGGGTTCTCGGCCGTTCACTGGAAAGTCCGGGATGCCCGCTGCTGGTCCAGCATCACTGCTGCTGCTGTTTGCTCTCACTGCTCCCGAGTGCACCGTCCTCTGTACTGGAAAACGCTGCCAGTTTCAAAGGCGCTCACAGGACTCATTCAGCCTTCACTACCCAGTTATGGAGGGGGGCTGCCCCGAGACCACACAGCCAGGAAGCAGCCCTGCCTGGCCTTGAACCTCGAACCAGGCCCCTTCCCCAGTGGCTAGGATTCCCTGATGGACTCCCCATCTCTGATTATCATAGGACGAATTTCCCTTCATTTGTGAGGATGAACAATCCAGAATTCCGTTTTCTGCTCTGTGGCAGACTAGGTACCTGAACACCCTCGTCCTACAGAGAGCAGGGCCGTGGCTAAGCTAGAACACGCACGGGTTAAAGGCAGGCCACACCACACCTAGGTGGGGGACATCCCTAGGCCCCAAAGGGAAGGCGTTCCGGACACCCCCATGAAATTCCGCTGTGTGCCCCAAGTCCTGGCTACTAGAAGCTTAGGCTTAGTGCTCAGGCTGGATGGAGGGTGAGGCTTTGGACCCAGCAGAAGCAGAAGCAAAGACCATAACAGAAAGGCAGACCCCTCGAGTGGCTGCCCCCAACCCCAGTCAAAGATGAACTAGAAAATAATCTTTCCGCGAACATGATACGAGAAGGAACCCTATGTGTTTTACCCTGAGCTTAAGAACAAAAACCAAATTCGACAAAAATCTGGTCGCCTTTCAGAATATGGAGCCAGGAGCCTGTCACATGGTGTGGCCTGGGGTTCAAGGTCGGAGCGCTCACTTGATTCAGGGACCCCACACCAATGCATGGACATGAAAACAGGAATCACGAGGGTGATTCCCGGGGAACGTCGCCAGCCAGAGCGAACGCAAAGCCACTGGGAGAGCATGCCCCAGGCCTGGGCTTCCTCTTAAGATGAGCTCACAGTGCAAATTACGCAGCCCCCTGGAGACAACCCGGCCCAGCGCGAGACACACAGACCACAGCGTCAGCCCCTGGTTCTTTGGCCACTTGGATGAGCTCAGAGAGGCTGTAAAAAGTGCACCCCACGGCAGTGGATGCAGACTGGATCCAAGGGGAATGCAAAATTTCAGGCAAAAGGACATGATTTCTAAAAGTGAACAGGCAGACATAAGAACCAAATCGATTGTTTTTATAGATTTTTTTTTGATAGGGTATGTGTACTCGTCAAATCGATTGTTTTTATAGATTTTTTTTTTGATAGGGTATATGCACTCACCAGAGAGACGGAGATAGAAAGAAAGCAAGAAATCACCCCCAGGGGAGATGGCCACGCTGCAATCCCTTCTCCTCCATTCTCCTTTCAGGATTTTGGGCATGCATGCACACGCACCCGGCGTGAGTTTCAAGCCATCAGGTCTGGGACTTGAACCGCGATCGGCCATATGGGAGTCCAGTGATGTAACCATTACACCATCTGCTGGTCCCACCAAGTTGAATTTTTAAAAAATAATCACAATTGAACTCTGTGAACTGTTTTAAAATCAAGGCAAGAATGCAGTGAGAGAACACAGATGAAGGGCAGGTGGAGGGAGCCAGGAGGAGAGGCTGGATGGAGGGAGGGAGAAGGGAGGTGAGGAGAGGAGGCCAGAGGGAAGGAGGGAGGGAGAAGAGAAGCAGGGATGGGAGGGCAGGAAGGCTGGAGGGAGGGAGGGAGGGAGAAAGGAGGCGGAGAGGGGAAACGAGCACTGAGGTCCCTCAGTCCGTGGGTCAACACACAAGTGTCCAGCACCCACGTGTGTACCAGCACTGAGCAACCCTGGGTGTGTGGACGGTGGTGGGGAAGAGGCTGGGCGGAGGGTGGGGGCTAAATGGATGGGCTGGTGGAAGATCGGTGGACCCCCGTTAGGTGGAGGTGGGTGGGGAGCAGGGGGTGCGGTAGGGGTGAGGGAGTAGCCAGTGGAGAGTTAGGTGAGCAGATGAGCGCGTGGAGTGGTGAGTGGTTGATGGGCAGGTAATGCGTAGAGAGAGGTAGGGTGGGTAATGAAGAGGGCGACAAGGTGAAGAGGAGCCTGGTTAGGTTGGCGGAGGTGGACAGCTGAGTGAGATGGATAGAAGGTGGGAGGGTGGATAGAGGGTGGGGAGGTAAGTGGGTGGGTGCCGGGAGGGGACACGGTGTGTGGATTTGGTAGCTTAGTGGGAGGCAGATGGGCGAGTAGGTAGACAGGGGAGAGGGTGGGGAGGGGGTGGTGGAATGGAGGGTGAGTGACCTGGGCTCAGGTGGGTGGAGGTGGGTGCAGGTGGGTGACCTGGGCTCAGGTTGGTGGAGGTGGGTGCAGGTGGGTGGATGTGGGTGACCCGGGCTCAGGTGGGTGGAGGTGGGTGCAGGTGGGTGACCTGGGCTCAGGTTGGTGGAGGTGGGTGCAGGTGGGTGGATGTGGGTGACCCGGGCTCAGGTGGGTGGAGGTGGGTGCAGGTGGGTGGCCTGGGCTCAGGGGGGGGGA